ATGTGCTTGATAGATTTTATTAATTATGTAGACGCAATCACGAGGCATTTTTAGGTCTAAGACCAGAGAGATATGGAACAAAATGATCAATGCTTGCATGATACTTATATGCTCCTACACCCAAAGGGAATTGGATCCAGAAGTATGCTTAAGTTCTTATGGAAAAAAGGAGACAAAAGTAAAATTATGTGCAAATCCTAGCTTGTTTTATAACCTAAATCTCAAATTCCTGGGATACTGTCCTCATCTTGAAAAAGATATAGCTATATTTAGCTAGAACGTGAAATATAATACTTCCATTTAAAAAGTCTGAAATCCAAAATGTATATATATTCATAAAACAAAATAAGTGTGGTAGTTTCCTGAAAAAACAAAATGGGATATACAAATATATTTAAAAGCTATTAACTTAAAACGATTTCCTCCTTGTGGACCTGGACCTTTTTGCATATTTTTGTTTGCTTTTTCAGGGAGTAAAAAGAGGTTCATTTAGAAACCATACATTAATTAACAAAATAATTTTGTGATGAAGTTAAAAGTCAATGTGTATTGCCTCCCTATAAATAGTTCTTTATTATGAATTTCAACTTTAATATATTTACCTTTTTTTTCTGTAAAACGCATTATATATTGTAACTAGAAGCAAGCTTTACCTCCAATGCTGTATTGAATTTGTCCATTCTTCCAAACAACCAAAATTCTATGATGTCCAGTGTCTGCTATTACCAATCTATTTGTAACATGGTCTACTGTTACTTTGCCAGGAAATAGCAATGGTGAAGGTGGCAGAGAATCTTTGTAGAGTTTTATTCCGATTTTATTATCTCTGATCTGTCCCTTGTCTTTGTAATACTTTAAAGCTATTGAAGTATACAAAAATAATTTATCTTTGTGTCCCTCTCCAATCAAAGAAAACAACATGTTTCCACGGGGTCCAAGTATGACCAGAGTTGGCCAGCAGGAAACTTCTAGGTCTTGCCAAAGGCTGGCATCTGCATCGTTAACCACAGGGTGGGTGATATTGTATCGAAGAACAGCACTCTTTATGTTATCCAGGACTTTTTCATTTGGAAACTTAGCTGAATGAACACCAACAATCAGAAGACCATCTGAAAGGGAAAAATTTATGTTAAACATTATGAAGTTTTTTTAATTTATTTTTTTTAACTGAAATATAATTGATTGTACATGTCTGTGGGGCACAGAGCTGCATATGAATACCTACGTGCAATATGTGATGCTCAAATCAGGATAACTAGTACATTCAATATTATACAATGTTATCATTTTTTGTGGTCCTTTATTGATTCCTCCCTTACCCTCCCTCCTCCTCCCCCTTTCCCACCTCTGGTAACCTCAATTCTGTTCTCTCCTTTTGAAAGTTGAAGTTTAAATATCATCATCAACACATTAGGTTTTGGTTCATTAACCAACAGTTCACAGATGTGAAAAAGAAGTAGAACTACATTAATATCTTCAACTGCATTTAAAAACACATTAAAAAATTAAATTTAAATCTCATGACAATATTGGTTACTACATAAAAACACATATGATCAAATTCATATGGCTACTGCAGGATTAAAACTCTTCATGCCTTTTATCTAGACAAAGCTATAAAAAAACACACTCTTTATTTTCTTATGCAGATGCTGAAATTTTTCCCACCTATAATAAATCCCTTTGAAATTCAGAGTGACTATGACTGCTTTTTTGGGGGGGGTATTTATTGTCATATTGTTCTCTTAAATTTTCTGACCTAACCTTACATTACAGATTAACAGAATGAATATAAGCAAGATGTTTCCATACTATACGGTATTTGATTTATTTAAAATTCCTATTACATAGTGCTTAGAGAACAAATCTTGTAGATAGTAGAGCTGGTAAAAACTAAAGACAATATATTTCTTTTACCTAATCAATATATTATATCAAAAAGTACGGGGAAAAAAATGAAGAAATGTTAGACTGGATTCAGAGAGAAAACTCAATACTGACCACCCAAGGTAGCAGAGGTAATAACAGCTACAGAAATCCAAATCTACCAAAATACCCATCAAAAACTACTCAAACCAGCATTAACAAATAAAACCACACAAATCAGGAAGTGGAATTCTCCAACAGCCCATCTTTCTGTTACAACTCCTAATTCCAAACCAACACACACACACACCCCTGATGAGGACTGAGAAAAGTAAACAAAAACAGGTAGACTATAGAGG